GCCGGGCAGCGAGACCTCATCTCTACAATAAATCAAAAAATCAGCCGGGCGTGGTAGCGCATACCTGTAATTCCGGCTACTCGGAAGGCTGAGGCAGAATGATCGCCGGAGCCCAGCAGGTCGAGGCTGCGGTGGCCGGGAGCGGCCACTGCACTCCAGTCTGGGCGACAGAGTGAGACTCCAACTCAAAAAAAAAAAAAGATACACATACGTGTGGCATGCTTTGGGTTAAAAGTTCTCTTATTAAGCTTTGTCAAGGGAAATAAAATTCAAGAAGAGTGGCTATAAAAGATAGAAGAAAGGAGGTTGACATATTTACTGTGGCACTAAGACCCATGCTGTGAAAATAACAAATATTTTCTTAGGTTATTATGGATCTTCAGACTAAAATTCCAGACCTATGTATACAAATCTGTGGTCTATTGGGAAAAAAACTTAGTTTTTTGAGGCAAAGGAAGCACAGTTGAGAATAGAAGTTAACAAAGGCCTATGCAAGTAGGTCCTTAATATACATGAATACTTTGTAAACTAAATATTTTTGTTCTAACTTTAATTTCAGATTGCCAGTGAAACTCCTCTAGATGTTGTAAGTATTAGTCAATTTCTCCCCTACCAGTTAGAGTATTAATCTGTTTGCTCCCCTTCAAGCTGAAGCTGTATTTTCACATCCTTAGGAGCGAAGGTAGTGACAGAAATCATGTGTGCAGCAGAGGGAAGGTGTCTGTTTGGTGGCAGTTGCTTAGTGTTTCCTCCAAACAGAGTTAGTCTGTAACCCTTCTCCAAGTTCTTAGTTTGTGGTCCTTACCACGCTGTGACGGCCCTGTCTTACAGGCTTGCTGAGTTGCCATTGTATGCTCTAAAGTGGGTTCGGACTGGAAGGCGGGGAGAGTGACTGTCGGAGTATGTCTTTCTGCCGTTTAAAATGCCGCTTCTTTTTCAGTTGATGGAAACCTCGGGGACAGACATGCTGAGTGATTCAGATAACAGAGCAACAATAAGTCCTTTACACTTGGCCGTGAGTACAGCCTTCCTGGCCAGCTTGATTTCTAGCTTACTGACAACATCTCGTACTTGTTTGTGTTGACTCAAACTAGCACCGTGAGCTTTTGGTACATAGTCATCATGAATTAAACCTGAAAGAACTATTTTAATTCAGAGGAGGCTTTAAGGCACTGTTTTGTGGTTTTGGGGCTTCCCCAGGGACTTCTCTAAGGAAGAGAATGTGCCTATGAGGGTGAATCAGAATGTACCTTCATGGGATGGCTTAGAACCTGTAAACATATGGTGTGCACACACAAACGCCATGGTGTTTCTACCATTTTCTGCTTGTTTTGTGGTCTTGGAGTGCTGACAAGTTGTGGGATCCTGTCCTTCAGTTGTTCTTGCCTGTAGGATTTGGCTGCATGGTCTATAATGTTCCTTCTGCTTTAAGATTCCTCAGATTTTTACTTCTCAGTATCCATCACCAAGTGGAGATGGTTAGAGAAGATTGTGCCCCTTTTTTGAACAAATTAAATGGCCGTTAATCACCTTAGGAAAGCTCAAGTCCCGTTCAGTTGAGCTCTTTCGACACTGAGAGAATTGCTTTTGAGACAGCACATTCCACATGGGGGAGAAGAGAACTTTGGGAATCAGAGACTAGGGTACATCACTAGATGTTTATAAGGCCTGATTTTTGACCACTACCTTGCTAGACTCTGGTGTGGCATGTGCTCTTTGAGCTCTAGCTATCACCATGCTTCCTGGCTTTGGCCCCCTTCCCCACTCCCTCCCTTGGGGAGGTGAATCTCCTCTTTCTCTCTGATTTACTTTCTAAACAAACTATATTTTCTAATCTAAAAAAAAGACCTGACTTTTAGTGAAAATGCTTATGAGAATAATGTCCTTAATTTAATGTGAGTCGCTGTAAGCTCAGTGACCCATCTGATGTCTCTCTTACCTAATATTCTCTTTGTGTATGTTCTGACTCTGACTCAAGTATGTGGAATTTTCTGTGATTTCTGCCCCTTCCTTCCCACTAGTACTTCCTGTCATGCTTTGAATAACTAAGAAGGCTTCCCTGAAGATTACTGACCCCTCACCCTTTGAGACCTTGAAAACAGTGTCATCTCTGCCAGGCACACGTAATGAGCAAGCCCGAAAAGTCAGAGCCTCCCTTGAGGGGATAGCCCCTCGGCTGCTGGTGGCAAGAAACGAGGTCTGAGCAGATACTAGGCAGTCCTGGCATCACCACCGTCGTTCTCGCCACGGCACTGCCACGACCGCTCAGTGAGCCTTTATTCCACAGGTGCCAGACTGTATCCCCCATGGAGATTCCACAGACAGCATACGAAAGGTTTGCGAAAGTCTTACAATCTCATGGCCATTCTAGGTAGCCTAATGATGTTGTTTCTCTAGAAATTCCACATTTGCATGCTCCCTACCCCACCCCCAATTTGGCAAATTTCTCTTTTTGTGCTTGCAAGTTAACAGTGTGCTCTGACACTGAATAGTGGTTTTTGGTTTTTTGTTATTTTCCTCTCTCGCAGTTACATTTTTTCGGGGGTCAGAGATTTGTGTATGTTTGTGGCAGTTAAATAAAAAGCATAACGTAAACTTTACCTTCTTAACCATTTCCAAGTGTACAGTTTAATGGTATTAAGTATATTCATCCACGTTATTGTGCAGTCTCTAGAACCTTTTCATCTTGTAAAACTGAAAGCCTGCACCCATTTGGTGACTCCCTTTTCCCCTTCCCCCTAGTCCCTGGCCAGTGCCGGTCTACTTTCTGTCCGGATGAGTTTGACTCATCCAGATACCGCATTTAGGTGGAATCACACAGTGTCTCTTTTCAGTGACTGACGAGTTTCACCCAGCCCGGTGTCCTCAGGGTTCGTCTGTGTTGCAACCTGGGGCAGAATGTCCTTGGTTTTTAAGACTGAGTGATATTCCCGGGTTACGTGTGTGCTATGGCCTGTGTGTCTGCTCCCTGCAGATGGACACTGGGACTACTTCTACCTCTTGGCTACTGTGAACAACACAGCTGTGGACATGGGTGCACTGGATAGTGTATTCAAGCTGAACTGGAAGTCATTTTGTAGTTTAGTAAGCAGACTCAGTGAAAGTGATTCCACCACAACTTTTCCATTCCATATCTTTCTCTAGATAGTTTTCAGAAGTTCCTCAAACCAGTTTTTCGTTCAGAACTCTCCCATTCAGGACAGCTTGGGGCAGTGCAAACGTACTGGCTTTGAGGAAGCTTGTCTCGATTCCCACCTTGGCTTGTACTAGATAGTTGGGCTCCTTCTCTCAGTCCTATACAAGGACATCATGAGGGGAAAAGCCCTATGGCAAATCACCGTGGTTCCTACTTGTCCTTATTTTCTCTCTTCTCCTTATGTATTTTGAGGCAGGGTCTTACTCTGTCACCCTGGCTGGAGTGCAGTGGTGCCATCATAGCTCCCTGCAAGCTTGAACTGCTGGGCTCAGGCGATCAGTCTCCTGTCTCAGCCTCCCAAAGGTCTGGGATTGCACTGTGTCCAGCCTCTTCTTTGTATACCATCTCCTACGTATACTATGGAGTTCATTCTTGTAGTTGCTTCATTTCATTGGCCTAGAATTGAGGAACAAAATTAGATGTGGTCCTGAACAGTAGAATTCTGTGTTCTGTAGTCAATTTTTTCTTTGAAACAGTCAAGCTTATAAGTAGTCCAACTTCCGACCACAGAGGCATCAAAGAAATTGGAAAGGCCCTGAGCAACTTTATCTCTCGCTGTTACTTTCTGACATTTGCCACAGGGAATGGCTTTACCGTCCTTTGAAGCTCATTGTTGCTGTAGGTCCTGCTCAGTGTCCATTCCAGTGTAAGTAATGTACGGTCAGTGGATGTGTTGGATTCTGAAGTGAATTACTTGGAATGCCCCTTCATCAGACTGAAGAAAGATGGGGCTTCCACCTGACATATCTTCAGCCCTTGCCTCTTGAACAGCTGAGATGATGATGCCTGCCACGTGGGAGGGGGAGAAGCAGGGCTCAGTTACGTGTTCCTTTCCTAGAAGAATCGCTCACTGTTTTATGTGGCATGGTATGCGATGGGGGTGGTCACTTTAATTTGAGAAATCAGTACTCCAACATTGACTCAGCTCAACTGACTAGCTGTTTCTGCAGCTAATGTGGAGTACTGAACTGTGGTTAAGAACACAGGCTTTGGAGTCATAGACCTGGAATCAAAGCACTGAATGACCATGTCACGTATCTGCTGAATGTCTGCTGTGAGTGTCTGCCACGCGTGTACATGAGTCAAAAAGACCACCTCTCGTTGGAACTTTTACGCCATGCAGAATGCCTGTTCCCTAACACTGTAGCTCTCAATGTTGATCATTAGAAAAATCTATAGTTAACTTCCTGAGTTCTCAATACAAAAGCTTGGATTATCTCCGGTATAATGATAATGTGAAGACAGGCTTGCTTATTTTTATTTTCTGAAATATTGGGGAAGTCCATTTAAATACATATGTTTTAATTTATATTCTAATTGATTTCTAGGCCTATCATGGTCACCATCAAGCGCTGGAGGTGTTGGTACAGTCTTTGCTAGATCTCGATGTCAGAAACAATAGTGGAAGAACACCCTTAGATCTTGCAGCCTTCAAGGGCCATGTGGAATGTGTGGACGTACTCATTAATCAGGGAGCCTCAATCTTAGTGAAAGATTATGTTTTGAAGAGAACACCCATACATGCAGCAGGTACACCCCATATTATGCTTGATTTATTTGCCACTTTCTGTCTAATCTTCTCTTTTTCAGTGTCTAGCATGTAGTACTCTGGTAATTGTCTTTAAATTTTTGGCTTTAAATGTTAGAATGATTGCATTCTCAGGAGAAAATCAACAGCAAGACTACAGTCACTTAAAAAATCATTATCTGCCTTAACTTATCAATAAAAGAGTGCAATATTTTTTAGTTTCTGTTTACAGTTATTTTGTATTGGTAGTCCTTCATTTTGCAGTTGATAAACATTTACACTTCTTTTGCCAGGGTAGTACATTAAACATTCAGGCAGCCTTCATAGGGCACCTGCATTATGCAAGAACTACTCCATGCTCTGATTTTATGATGTGGCAGATGGGTTAAAATATGAAGATCTGGCCACGCTCAGTGGCTCAGCCTGTAATCCTAGCACTTTGGGAGGCCAAAACGAGTGGATTGCCTTAGCCCACAGGTTCGAGACCAGCTTGGGCAACTTGGCGAGATCTTGTCTCTATAATAAATCAGAAATTAGCAAGGCATGGTAGAGCATGCACTTGTAGTTCCAGCTCCTTGAAAGACTGAAGTGGATCAACAGATCCCAGCGGGTCGACACTGGGGTGGCCCTGAGAGTACCACTGCACTTCAACATGGGCAACGAGTGAGACTCCAACTCAAAAGAAAATGAATATCTGTAACCAGGTCATTGAAATGACTTGGTACCCACTGGCAGGTGCAGATTCACAACTTTAGGAATTATTACTAAAGACAGTGTACGTTTTAAATAACCAGGGACGGGTATAATTGAAGGCTCTTAGCCGAGTATTTTTCTCATCCCCAGTAGGCTATCTTTATGTAATGAGATTCATCTCACTTAGTCTATTTTTATTTTTATTTATTTATTTATTTTTTTAGTTGGAGTCTCACTCTGTTGCCCAGTCTGGAGTGCAGGGGCACACTCACAGCCTCCGCAGCCTCAAGTGATCCTTTGGTCTCAGCCTTCCAGGTAGCTGGATCTACAGGCATGCACTGCCACACTGGGCTAATTTTTTTTGTTTTTTTATGTATAGTAGAAATGAGGTCTCACTGAGGTATCCAGGCTGGTCTCGAATCCCTGGGCTTAGGCAATCCTCTTGCCTCCACCTCTCAAAGTGCTGGAATTACAGGCATGAGCCACTGCGCCCGGCATACTTAGTATGTTTTTACAGAGTGATTCTTAAGAATACATTTGAATGTACACCTTGGATTTTGTTTCTAGCCTTTGAGAAGCTTGCATTTTAGAAGACCATCAATAACACCCACTGTTGCTCCCAGAGCAGTCCTTCAAGCAGGTCTCAGAGACAGCTATTTTAATAATGTATTTAAACACCTAATGTGTATATGTAAACTGCTGTAAGATTTGAGCAAGAGATCAAAATGCTATTACTTTCTATTATCTTATTCTGAAAAAGAATAAAGTTATTTATCAGTCTACACAGCTGAGCATGGTGGCACATACCTATAGCTATAACTACTTGGGAGACTGAGGCTGTTGAGCCATTTGAGCCCAATTCAAGTCCAGCCTGGGCTGTACGATAGTAAGACCCTGTCTCTAAAAAAATAAAAGTAAATTTTTAAAAAATACCAGTCTACAACTAGAAGAATTATATTGTAACTGCAGATCATATGCACAGCTAATTTAAGACTTCCATGAGAGACTGGCCTCTTAATAGGTTAATATTGAACTAGGACACTAGCCAGACCCGCAGAAGTAATCAATGCCATATACTCCGGCATAAGTCCTGCCTACAGAAAAGGAGCCCAGATCCGTGCCTATCTGTTCAGCAAGTGCAAACCTTGGTTCTGTGGATGCCTCTGATTTGGGGACTGCTATTCATAAGTCATGGCAAGAACACTGAGCTTTTTTTTTCTGGAGGTTAGCCAGCCTCTTCCCACAGGGATGCCGTACTTGATGTTGGTATGGAACTTGGATGTCACAGCATTCATCAGTAGCTCCTGTGCACTGGGTGTAGGTGAACTGATTAAAGAATGGTGGGCCAAGTAAAATCTCCTGAAACATTCCAGGTGTTAGGACACTGTCGTTTATTGCATTTTGGACTAGGGGTGAAGGTTGTGACTTTAAGCCACACGTCTTAATAACTATTACCATGGGATGGAGCTGTCAGATAGTACTATAGACTGTCTGGAATCTAGCTTGTTTCATTTGTCATCTTTTAATTAGAAGGAATAGTGGCAGACATTCCTTTCTGCGTCATTATGTGCAAGAAATGTTTTTCTTATATTTTTATTTACACTTTATTATATATGAACAGAATCTGAATTCTACAGAGGATTTAACGTACTTTTAAAAAGCTATTTTCAGCCGGGCACAGTGGCTCAAGCCCGTAATCCCAGCACTTTGGAAGGTGGAGGTGAAAGGATTGCCTGAGCTCGGGAGTTCAAGACCAGCCTGAGCAACATGGCAAGACCTCATCTCGACAATAAATCAAAAAATTAGTCAGGTGTGGTGGCATATGCCTTTGGCATATGCCTGTGCCAACAGCTTGAAAGGCAGAGGCAGAAGGATCACATGAACCCAGGAGGTCGGGGCTGCAGTGGCCGTGAGCGTGCCACTGCACTCCAGCCTGGGTGACAGAGTGAAACCCCAAGTCAAAAAAAAAAAAAAAGCTATTTTCTTTGGGCTACTTGTACCATTGCCCATCTTGTGCGTTTGGACTTAGAAATGCATACTTGAAGCCGGGCTCGTTGGCTCAGCCTGTAATCCCAGCACTTTGGGAGGCTGAGGTGAGCAGATTGCCTGAGCCCGGGTTCGAGACCCACCTGGGCAACTTGGCGAGACCTCATCTCTACAATAAATCAAAAATTAGCTGGGCGTGGTAGCGTACACCTGTAGTTCCAGCTACTTGGAAGGCTGAGGCGGAAGGATCGCCAGAGCCCAGCAGGTCGAGACTGCAGTGGCTGGGAGCGGCCACTGCACTCCAGTCTGGGTGACAGAGTGAGACTACAACTCAAAAAAAAAAAAAGAAGAAATGCATACTTGAGATGTATCATTTTACTTGTATTCATTTGAAATTATTTCGGCCGCATATTACAGAGGACCCAGTTGAAACTAATTTAAGTGCCGGGGGTATATGGGCTTTCACATATCTTTCCAGAGTGGATGCAGTTCCAGACTGGGGCTCTGCAGTGCTGTCAGTCCTGGACCAGATGCTCTGTGAATGCTCTCTTGCCTTTGCATCGTGTTGCAGGGTGGCAGCTGCTGCTTTTCGGGGTCTCATCTGAAATCATAAAGGAAGGGCGACTTTTCATGATCAGGGAGAAAAGTATTTCCCAGGAGCCCTCTAGACTTAATGGCATCTCAGTGGTCACGCCTGGTCGGAGTGTTCACCTTGAAAATGATCACTGTCAGAGGAGAATGGGTTGGCTGTGACTTGGCCTAATCACAGTTTCCTTCCTTGGCTGGAGGGCAGCCATTCTCCCTGACCTCATTGCCAGAGTACTAAATGAAATGAGTGTCCTGTTTCCAAGACAGATGATGAGAAGTGGGTGCTGGGTGGGCTGCCTGCCTGCCATGGTTTCCCATGAGGAATTTGTCTGTTCAGCTCTAACAGCCAAAAGCAGTAGAAACCTTCTTTGTACCTATAGACAGCTTTCATTCTTGCATTGTAAGTTCAGTGAAAATATGCCAAAATTTACTTTTAAAAGATGTACTCTCTAAGATGGACATTTTTCATTTGATCATTGTATATAATCACTGAAATTTTTAAACTTCACTTTACAGCAACAAACGGTCATTCGGATTGCTTGAGGCTGTTAATAGGAAATGCAGAACCACAGAATGCAGTAGATATTCAGGATGGAAATGGACAGTAAGTTTTAGTAAATTAATGATGTATCCCAAAAAGGCACATTCATTAACCGAAGACCACAGAGTGCACTCTTTTGGAGAGGGGGGTGAGAAAACAGGAGTTTATTAATAAAGACAGAAGAGCTCCCAAGCGGGAGGGTGCCTGAAACAGGGTTGCCCCCTGGAGTGCACTCCTGAACCTACTACCCCTGTCGCCCAGGACGCCTCTGATGCTGTCTGTCCTCAACGGACACACGGACTGTGTCTACTCACTGCTGAACAAGGGAGCGGATGTGGATGCCAAAGACAAGTGGGGAAGGACCGCCCTGCACAGAGGGGTGAGCAGGAGGACGCATGTCCCCCCAGCAGCTTTTATGGCCTTCCATGACCTGGGACCTAGCTGGGCTGTTTGTTTCTCTTCAGTAAATTTTTTTATCAGTCTTTATTTCTTTCAGTATCTTAGTTGTTAAATGTTAATTTTGAACAGTTGCAAATTACAACTTAATCCAAAGAACAATGAAGTTAGAAGAAAAATTTAAAACCCTAAAATCTTGAGTAGAATTAATGTTAATTTGATTTCTTCCATTGTCCCAGCTATTTTCGTATACAGTTATTATCACTTTTCTTTGAAATATCATTATTTACATAGAATTACAAGTTCCTCTCTTCCTGTTTGTCATACTTTATACAGTTTGACAACATTGTGCTTTAACTGAATTTTTAAACCACTTCCAGTAAGAATACAGAATTGGCTAGGCGCAGTGGCTCAGCCTGTCATCCCAGTACTTTGGGAGGCTGAGGTGAAGGGATTTTCTGAGCCACGGGTTCGGGAACAACCTGGGCAAGTTGGCGAGACCTCGTCTCTACAATACATCAAAAAATTAGCCAGGTGTGGTAGTGCACGCCTGTAGTTCCAGCTCCTTGGAAGACTGAGGCGAAAGAATCACCAGAGCCCAGCAGGTCAACACTGGGTTGGCCGTGAGCGTGCCACTGCACTCCAACCTGGGCGACGGAGTGAGACTCTGACTAAAGAAAAAAAAGAAAGAAAGAAAGAATACAGAATTACTCAGAAAATGATAAATGGCCTTAGTTAATGGGGAGAAGTAAATTTTTAAATTTTCAAATTAAGCCGGGCTCAGTGGCTCAGCCTGTAATCCTGTGCCTTTGGGAGGCTGAGGTGAGTGGATTGCCTGAGCCCGCGGGTTTGAGAGCCGCCTGGGCAGCAAGACCTCATCTCTACAACAAATCCAAAAATAAATCAGCCGGGCGTGGTAGCACATGCCTGTAATTCCGGCTACTCAGAAGGCTAAGGTGGAAGGATCGCTGGAGCCCAGCAGGCGAGGCTGCGGTGGCCGGAAGCGGCCACTGCACTCCAGTCTGGGCGACCGAGTGAGACTCCAACTCAAAAAAAAATTTTTTCAAATTAGCTAGAGTCAGCATATAGTGTTTAGCATACTGTATTTGACTCCATGCACTTTCTTTCAGGCAGTTACTGGCCATGAAGAATGTGTGGATGCATTACTTCAACACGGTGCTAAGTGCTTGCTTCGGGACAGCAGGGGCCGGACACCTATACACTTGTCAGCTGCCTGTGGACACATTGGTGTTCTTGGAGCCCTTTTGCAGTCGGCAGCATCTGTGGATGCAAACCCCGCCATGGTAGACAATCACGGATATACGGCACTTCACTGGGCTTGCTACAATGGTTAAGTATACAGATACTGGCTGGACTATTGCGTACTGGCAGAGAGTGCCCACTGTGTACATTCTGATGCTCATGAGATGATGTGTCTATGAGGCAAGCGTAAAGCTTAAAAGTAGCAGGAGGCTTAGGAGCTGTCTGCTGCGTAGTTATGGCTCAATCCTCTCCTTTGTCCCGCTGAAGCTAAGACCAGTTGTCAAGGGGTTTTGAGATAAGCCACGGCATTTTTTTGAAATTTTTCTTAGTCCCTTTTTCCAACAATATTTAGCATTTTAGAGAGGTCTTTACCATATTTCCAATGCTTTCATATGGTATGCTTGTATTTTGGTTACGTTCTTTTATTTTTTAAATACATTTGTATTAGGAAAAAATAACCAAGGCAAGAGATACAGTGAAATGCATTGTGTTCTCAGCTACACTTGGAGTATGTCTGCTGAGCACACTGTAGCACCATGACCTGATACCACCAGTAATGTTCATGCTCCGGGTTTTCACAGAATAGAGCCCCAGCAGGTCTTAGAAGCTTTCGTGGGCTAACTTTCCAAATGGTTAGAATCCACTTGTTTTAGCTTCCTGCAGGCTTCCAGTCCCAGTCATCTCCTTTGCAGGTAGACTCACAAAAGGTCCCTCAGGGAAGCAAAAAGCTATTTTTGAAGTGTAGATGTGAAAAATGGAGTTTGGCTTCTGTAATGTCACTGACAAAGATAATTTACATAATGAAGCATGTTGAGATGCTAACTTTTTACTCGTGTGGGGCCATAGCTTTGATCATCTTAGTAAGCACTTGGGTACGTTACAAATGGTGCAAGCAACATCCTTGTTGAAGCTCAGGCTTCAGGCTTTGGCAGAGAAATGAGAGGGTTTTTTTAGATTTGCTTTGGATTTCAGTGTAGCCCTGAGATTAGTGTTAGTTATGACGGCATATCTACAGGTCGAACCGCTTTCCTGCAGAATGTAGAGAAGAGTTAAATTGCCTCTTGGTGTAAATATCCATGTGCTAAAACAAATACATGTGGTATCTGTCCTGTAGCCAGCCCACTGCCTGGCTAGAGAGTGGAGGCATGCCGTCCTTCTGTAATGTGCTGATTGGTGGCTCTTTCACTGGGAGCCATTCTGACAAGGAATGTTCCTGAGTTGTGGCAAACGAGGAGAAAGCAGAATCTTGTAAAACTGTAATTCAGTTAAATTTTTTTCATCAGTATTTCTAAGGAATACTATTCTGATTTTTATGCTAAGGATTAATGTGCCAAAGTTGAGTGTTCCATTCTTTTGCCGTGAGAAAGTTTGGGGCTCTTCTTGAAGATTGTCCTGGGATTGCTGTTGGCCATCCTTTGAGGACTCATGGTACCATAGAAACTCGAATAGTCACAGCTGAAAACACTTAGTCTGTTTCGTTCTCCCTTCCTCAGAGCCTTCACCAAACAGTTTTGAAAACCATGGAACCTTTAGGGGTTTGACTTATTTTTTTCCCATTTTAATTCACTAAAGCTAATTTTTAATGCGTGTAGTGAAGTGGCCAAAGATTAGCACTATGTCAAATAAGGTACTGTGTTTTGCCATTGATAATTTGTTTTTATGATGTGACTTGACATTTCACAAGTACAGGAAAACCCAAAATATCTAATAGAGTGGAAAAATATCCACAAATGTTAATTTTGTTTATTTAAAAAGTCAGATAAAATTGTTTTGAAGCAAAGACTTATTGCTTGATTTTTTTAAATGTTGTAAAAGTGAGAATTAACCGTTAAAAAAAGCACACAGTGAAGTATTTTTCCTCAAGTAGACCATTTAGTCATAAATATGCTGCTGTGACTCCTTTGGTAAGGCACTGGGAGGTGCTCCCTGTTACAGCATTTCTTGACAGGTCTATATATAGAACACTGTTTTCCTAAAGTGAGCTCCTGCTCTGTCACTGCCGGATTTAGAGTCTCTGAGCACATTTTGTATTAGAGACAGAATTTTGCACAACCTGCATGCCTGGTTGCCGTTTAAAGATCGTAACAGATATGTCTAATTTCCAGACATGAGCAAAACTGGTGATTCCGAATTGAGTTGGAAGGAATTAAATGTGTGCTGGCTATGTAAATAAGAGACTGTACAAACAGTCTAAAATTCATACCATATTTATAGCCAAAAGCCCCTTTTATAATTTAGCTTTCTGAAAGCAAACTGTGTTAAGATGGTTTTACTATGACTAGTAATTATTGTACAGCTGGAAAGAAGACTGGAAGCACTCCGACAGGACAAAACAACCTTTCTGCTGGGTTCGGTGGCTCAGCCTGTGATCCCGCGCCTTGGGAGGCTGAGGGGAGTGGATGGCCTGAGCCCGCGGGTTCGAGACCCGCCTGGGCAGCAAGACCTCATCTCTACAATAAATCAAAAAATCAGCCAGGCGTGGTAGCGCATGCCTGTAATTCTGGCTACTTGGAAGGCTGAGGCGGAAGGATCGCCGGAATCCACC